CCGTAACTTTGTTGTATTTTCTATTTTGGTCATTGCTCCTTTGTTTCTTGTTCACTTCAAATTTGGGATGTTAATTTTATTAGTTTTCATTATGGTCGTTTATATGTATTTGTTTATATTAGGAATCTGATGCCCTTGTTTATATTATTTTTTCTTTGGTCATTTGTTCATGACATTTTTTATTTATTTTGAATTGCATACTGTTTTTTTTGTTCATATTACATTTTAACCCTTTTAATTTTTATTAACATTCGAACATTAATACAACCTTGTGGTGACTCGCCCTGGGGTACGATCCACATTATTTATGGTAAGAGTAATTTAAAATTTTTAAACTATTAACCATTTAATTTTATAACTTCTAACTTTTTTATGTTCGAATCATTTTACGACCTCGCAATAACCCACCCTGGGGTATGACTTGCGTTATTTATGGTCTGGGTAACATTTTAAATATTAACCCTAACTTCTAATTTTATTCGATTAATTTATTTTCTATTATTTACATTTTCCCTTTAAATGTTTGTTATTTTATTTTATACCTTTACTTTTCAGCATTTACATTTTAGTCCTTTAAACACTAATTTTTGAATTTTTGGCAATTTCTCAATTTAAGCTTTAATTTATGTTTTCTTTTATTTTGGTCCTTTATTTAATGAACTTTAATTTCAACTTTGCATTTTTAAATTCCTTTTAGTTTAGTCCTTGATAGATCACTTGTCTTGTTAGATTTAGTCCTTAAATTTAGACTCCTTTAAATTTGGTCTTTGAACTTTTAATTTAGGAGAATTTTTGATTTGGCCCTCGCTTATGCTCGAGGTTCCAAATTAATTATTCGATTCAATAAGTTACTAAAAGTAATTAGAATTAATATTAGAGCCTCCATATTAGGCCTAATTTCACATTTATTCCTTAAATTAGAAGCATTCTTAATTTGGTCTTCGCTTTTGCTTGAGGTTCCAATTTAATTATTCGAATTGCATAATTGATTAAAATCAAATAGGGTAATGTTTAGAGCCTCCATTTTAGGTTTAATTTAAACTTATTCCTTTAATCTAGGAGAATTTTCAATTTAGTCTTCGATTATGCTCGAGGTTCCATTTTGGCTGTTCAATTCAATAATTTACCAAAAATGATTAGGATTAATATTAGAGCCTACACTTTTTAGGTTTAATCCCCTAGATTCTTTAAATCTCATAATTTGACACTTTAGGTTAGGGGAAGCCTTAATGAACTCACCTAGCTTAATTAGGTATAATAAAAAGTTGTTTGCTTACATTTGGATTTAAAATAATAAGCCAATGTTGATTTACCAAGGAGTTAATGGTGTATCCTCCACATTATGCTCAGGAGGTGACTACTGGTGACTCCTGAAGTAGGTCGACATCCTTTTCAAAAACCCTGTCATGTTTCCAAAATTCCAAGGCAATGTTTGATTATTGGGTATAATAATTGATCTCCCGCATTCATTCTAGGGGCTAATATTATTAACTTAAATAATCAAACATCCTTTTCAACTACACATCCATAGTGAATTTTTGATTAAATAAAGTTCAAACTCAAAATTTCAAAATTTCAAAATAAGGTAATCAACTAGGTACCAATTTTTGGGAGCTGTGGGAGTGCTAACCCTTACGCATAACCGACTTCCGAGCCTGATTTCTGGATTTTTGCAGACCCCAAAACTTGATATTTTGGTAAAATAAAATATTTTATTAAAATCACCCGATTTTTATGGTGTTCCAATCGCACCTTAAATGATTGGTGACAACTCCTCACATTTCAAAATATTTAAAAAAAAAACCCCAAGTCGAACTAGTTTTTTCCCACCCCAGCGAAAAACGGTGGTGACAAATATATTATTTTTTAAAAATATATATTAAAATTGTGAATATTAATATAACATGTATGCTAAATATATAATGTTTATTGTAATTTTTCTCAGCCAATATAAGATTTCTATTATGAGAAGAGGCCTCAAAAAAGTTGCATTGGTTTTATATTTACTAAAAACATAGTATCTTTACATTGTACTTGAAATTATTAACTTTAGTGTTATCTAAAGTTATCGTGGAGTGCTCCCATAATACATGAAGATTTCATAATGTATAAGAGGGTTACTATATTATTTTATATTTATTTTGATTAAATTGATACTTAAGTTTTTAGGAAATTGATTTCGATCACATAATTTGATATTTAGTTTTAACTTCAATGTTGATATTTAAACTATGTGGAAAAATAAAACCCATCTTTGATCATTGATTTTGTATGAATAAATTGTAAAGAGGAGACAAATAGAAAAATAACTAGGTAATTAATTAGTTGTTGGAGGTAAACATCACTTACTCAAAGGAATTGACTGCCGACAAACATGCCTTCACTTTTATAGAGATTATCATAGGTGTGAGATTTAAGTTTTATTTTTCTTATAATAGATTTATATTTTATTAATAGTTAAGGTTTTAGACATCAATTCTCAAAATTAGTTTCATAGAAATAGAATATAACTTTTAAGAATGGATAAATTACATCAAATACCACTAATTTTAGGAAATGTATCATTTATACCAATGGGTTTTTAATTACTCTAATTATAGCATAACAATTTGGTTTTAACTTCAATTATACCACCAGGTCGTTAAAATCCAAACAATGTGATGATTTGGACAAAACAACATTGCTTTGGTACGGCTATTGATGTCTAAAACGATATTGTTTTAAGCACTGAACTTTATGGATGTATTGATTTTTTCACTAAACTTTCAAACATTTTATTTTTTGACAATGCACTTTTTTTTACTGTTGCTGGTAGTGAATCATTGTCTTTCACTAATCGTCTTTCACGACAAGATCGATATCAAAACGTTCGCATTTCACTCATCTTTCTTCTCCTATGATTAGTTTTCCAATAAACTCACCCAAAACCGACGAAAGTATATAAAATTTAACCTTTTTAGGGTTTTAGAGACTTTCTCAAATTTAAGAGGTTTGGGGAGTTTGTTCAAAAAACTGAACGGTTAGAAGCATTATTTTGAGAATATGAACAACATACCTTAAAACTAGGTTCATTGGACAACCATAAGAGGATATTAGAGTATAGCACGTCGAATCTTTAGATGAATTTTCATCGATTTTGAAAAAATCAATCCGATGAGAAGAAAAATGAGTGAAATATGAATATTTTAATATCAATTTTGCTGTATATGGGTAACCAATGATGGGTGTCGATTAGCTGTAAGCGAAAGTCGAAAAAGTTTTGTGTCAAAAAGTGAAATGTTTAAAAGTTTAGTGTCAAAATTCATATACCCTTAAAGTTCAGTTCTTAAAACGACATCGTCTTAGACATCAATAACTGAACCAAGACTATGGCATTTTGTCCACATCATCATAGTGACAAAAAGATTTGTCCACATCAGTGTATTGTTAAAATTTAACGATCAAGTGATATAAATGAAATCAAAATCATAGTGTTATAATTAGAGTAATTAAAAGTTTAATGATATAAATAATACACCGCTTAAAGCTCAGTAACATATGATGCAATTTATCCTTTAGGAAATAATAAACAAACAAAGAGTGCTTCGCCTTGCTAGTTGTACTAATGCTTTATAGGTAATCTTTTCGGAGTTTTGATTGTCATCTAATAATTATCCTTTCATTAGAATAGACTTGACAAGCTCTGAAATTTCCACCCTGTCATTTTACTCAACTTTTATGTCAAATGGTCTATTCATATGCACATGCGTACTTAGTACCCAATTTTTACTACGCTATTTTCATTTGATAGAACGCAAATAATACTATAAAATTGTTCAAGTTAGAATGACATCTAGACGAAGATGACACTAGAATTCAAATTTGACGGTCTTGTTGAATTCACACATGTAGGAAATAGTTGAAACAAAATTAAGCCAAAAAAATTAAAAACTTGTCCTAAAAGTAATAAATTTGACAAAAAAATGTGTCTCTCCCCAATGGCTCCCACCATTGTTGTGTAAAACCTCAAATACATCAAACTTTATAATAACAAGGTGGGACTCTTCCCCAAGTAGTCCTTCTCCAATGAGCTAAAATGACTGATTTGTTTAGTTTATTCCAAAACCTTTAACAATTACGAGGGACCAATGAGCTAAAATGACAGATTTGTTTAGTTTATTCCAAAACCTTTAACAATTACGAGTTTGAAGTGCAATATATATCATTTTGCGAGCACAACACGTTACTGTAAGTTAGAAACACAAAGGATTTTTTTTTTTACAATAAGGCCTGAGAATTATTTTTCCCTGGAATCTTAAGAGTGGTCCCTCAATTCAAAAGAGAGAGAGGAAGGTTTGAAAAGTACAGGTGGCCTGGAAAGTTATGGCTGTTTTTGGTACTTATTACCGTGAAACCAAGTTTATAAATTGACTCGAAAAACCCAGTTTTTGTGTGCATCGTTTGAGTTTTGTTTTAAGCTTTCGTTCTCTAGTTCTGAGCTCATCTTCTGTACTCTTAAGATCGTACATTGACATTGTCATCGTCTCTGTTTTGTTCAATACTCTGTTCAGTGTTCAGGTATAGAGGCCTTTGAAAAATCTGATTCCCTTTTAAAATCTTTTTGGTTATCTTTGTTTAAAGCTTTGGTTTTGGGTTTTTATACAGAGGATAAGCAGGAAGAAGAGATAAAAAAAAGAATGACTAACCAACAAAATGTGGCGGTTCTTGACGTGAAATCGCGTGGTTTAAGGAGCTTATTGCCTCCGTCGTCTCCGCTGGTGGCCAAGTCATTTTCGCCTACAGGCCTTGATGTGCTATTGACAAAGTCATTCGAAGTCGAGAAAGGAGGAACTAAAATCAATGCCTGCGTGGATTCAATGAGATCTTCGTCACCGACCCGTATCAGGTCCACTTATTCAACCGACGACAAAAGCTCCTCAATTGTAGGTTCCCGTTTCTCACTTCTTCACCCCCACTAGTTAATGTTATGTTTTGATCATATGTTCCTGCAACAGCTTCATCATCCCTCGGCTTTAAGCATGTTCGACCAAATAATGGCCGCTTCCATAGGGAAACGGATTGTGATGTTTCTCGACTACGACGGCACTCTTTCCCCCATCGTCGAAGACCCCGATCGAGCTTTCATGTCCGGAGAGGTAACCATTCCCGTTCATAAGCTGCCCTCTTCACTCTTATTTACTCCCACTAAATTCATCGTCTCTAATCAGATGAGAACGGCCGTAAGAGATGTTGCTAGATATTTTCCGACAGCAATTGTGACTGGAAGGTGCCGAGACAAGGTACATTTTATTTTTCCTCGAGGGGGAAAACGTACGACTTTTATGATGTACAGTGTTTGGATTGATTCTCATGGTGAAGATTTCAACAGGTTTACAGCTTTGTAAAATTATCTGGCCTTTATTATGCCGGCAGCCATGGAATGGACATCAAGGGACCCTCTAAAAGTAGCAAATACAAGAACGTAAGTAACAAACAACATAGTCTACTTTTTGTAATATTTTCCTTTCGTTCGGCTTAAAAATAGTATCGTTACCAAAAAAAAAAAAACGTAACGTTAGTATTAACCAGTAAGTAATATCGAAAGTTAAATTATCTATTAAGATTAACATAACTCTCTAAACTTCTTACATCCAAAGCGAGGAAATGAATTCTGATTGTGTTTTTTTTTTACAATATTTTAAAAAGAAAGAAAGAAAGAATTAAATTGTTTGTTATAATTAACCAAAGAAACTATCCTTTTTATAAGAGTAATATACGAATAAATTGGTAAATTAAACGCTTGTTAAACTTTATTCTCTCTCCTATTTCACTCACCATACTTTTAATTTTTTCAATTTGCTCACTAAACTTTAGACGTTGAACTTTTTTGTCTACCGTTTAATTAGTAACAGGGTGCTCATGTGGCTTATTTTAACAATAAAACATGCCATATATGGCTTATAATTAAAAAGATAAATTACATGTTTACTCACTGAACTTTACTATCTCTCATATTTTATTCACTATACTTTTAATTTTTTTTTCAATTAATATAGCAACGCCATAACGCCGTTAGAAATTTAATGGTCGATTAACAAAAAAAGTTTAATGTCTAAAGTTCAGTAAACAAATTGAAAAAATTGAAAGTACATTGAGTGAAATAGAAGATAGTAAAGTTCAGTGAGTAAGCGTGTAATTTATTGAAATAAATATCAAATGACATCTATCCACTTGATCCACTCCTTAAATATGATTAACTCATACCTCAAACTTAACATTTGCTATTGGCATTACTAACGTGTTATTTATCCGATTCTTCAGGGTAACCGTGGTGTTCTTTTCCAGCCCGCCAGTGAATTCTTGCCCATGATAGACGAGGTTCGAATGAATTAATTGAATTGAAATTTGAGTTAGAAAGAGAAGAAGACAAATAAACAATGCACATAGAATTAAGAATAAAAGAAGTCGTAACTTTCAGGTATACAAAGCGTTGGTAGAGAAGACGAAATCGATAGGGGGAGCCAAGGTGGAAAATAACAAGTTTTGTGTGTCTGTACACTTTCGATGTGTGGATGAAAAGGTACGAAACCGAACACGGTCTAGTCTTTTTCTTTCTATTATGCTGAAACTCTGGGGAGCTGATTTTGCCTGTGCTGCTTTTGGCAGAGTTGGGCTGCCTTAGCTGAGCAAGTTCGATCAGTACTCAACCAATACCCTATGCTTAAAATAACTCAAGGGAGGAAGGTACATCTAATTTATTTATTTATATTTCTATTTCTATTCCTCTTTCTATTTTCTTTTCTCGTCCCTTTTCACTCTTGTTCATGGATGCTAAAACTTTTCTTCAACAAGGTAAAAAAAGTTGCATCATTTTTGTTTTCCTTTTGATTTTAAATAAATAATAGGTATTGGAGATTCGTCCGACCATCGAATGGGACAAAGGGAGAGCCCTTGAATTCTTGTTGGAGGCACTAGGTGCTTTGTTACTCAATTTCTCCCTTCTTTTATTCATTTTCGAATTTTAATTAATTAATTACATATAAGAGATTACCGATAGTGAAATAGTTTTTCTTAACAATACTGATTCCTATTTTGTTTATTTTGATATGTTCAGGATATGCTAATTCAAATGATGTTTTGCCGATCTATATTGGTGATGATCGAACCGATGAAGACGCATTTAAGGTATCTAATTATAATTAATACTATTATATAACGAAAAACTTGTTACGAGTTTCAAATAGAATTCTTTAATAATCTGAAGTAATTACAAGTATTTCTTCAAAATATTTTCTTAGCTATTGACAATTGACACACACCTTGCAGACTCAACAATTTAAATTCGAGTCTTTTAGAGGGAATAACATTTTTTACTATTAAAATCACTCAATGAATTCTTCAATGAAATCTACGTGAATAGATCATTATTAAAAACAATAATTCAAACTTAAACACATTTCTTTTTCTGACTAGGTTTTACGAGATAGAGGCCAAGGGTTTGGGATTCTTGTTTCCAAAGTACCTAAAGAGACAAGTGCTTCATATTCTCTCCAAGAACCATCTGAGGCAAGATTTATAATCTTAGCATGCAATTTCTATTATTAATTTTGAATTTGTTGGATTATTTTTTAATATCATTTTTGGACTAACATGCATTTTTTTCTTGTAAAAATTACACAGGTGGAGGAGTTTTTGAGGCGTTTGGTGGATTGGAAAAAATATTCACAAGGAAAAGCAGCACCATAATTTGCAAAATGTGCTTAAGCATGCACGGGCGAGATAATTTGGATGCCGCCTGTAATCACCATTTTTATCTAAAAAAATATTTATTATTATTATTACCAAAAAAAGAAAAGAAAAATGGGACAAAAAAATCCCTTGATATCCGGTGCTCATGTCCGGGTGTTCCTGCCATCTCTACTCCGGTACCTTCACTATGGCCACCAACTCTCTGTCATCTCCACTCCCTGCAAACTTCTCTAACAGTGTAATATGGGTTGTATTTTTTAATTTGTAATATGGGTTGTTATAAAACCCCAAGCAAAACCAATGTAAAGAAGGCACCCTTCATTCGAAAACAATACATATAAGCATTTCTACTCGATTTTATATTTTCGTATCCATAGCATTTTATTTTTATTTTTCAATCGAAAATCCATTAAAAAAAAGCACGAGAAAGGAAACCAACCCATTCGGGGAAAAAAGAGGAAGACCATACTTCTCGGACGGAGTTGTTCACCAGTGAGCGGGGCCTCCTTCGGTTAATCTGAATCGTGAGAAGACGTGGTTTACCCCCGGGAGCAACATAGCTCGGACCTGAGACGATCTAACGGTGGAGAATGCATATTGGAGCACCAAAAGTCGAAGGGTCTTGGCCTTGTTTCACAGCGTTGGAGGTCATTTCTTGTGAAACCACGCTCAGATCTACAACCATCGAGTCGAGACGAACAAGCCCGTGTAAATTAGGCTTGAAAGGCTACCGATGACGGTCGCCGACGCGACGACGCTCATCGCTGGTTTCTAGAGAAGTATAGAGAAAGAGGAGAACATTTGGGAGGGGAGAGAGAGAGTGGAGAAGAAAAAATGAAGGAAAAAATGGATTTATAGATGAATCCAAACGACGCCGTTTTGGCCCCCATACATGCGTTTTGGAGACCCGAAGGGTCTAATCTCTTCTGCAATCCTCCCAAGTTCCTCTAGTTTGCATTTTGGTCATTGTCATGTGATCTTTTCATTCTCATTTTAAATCTTATGTCCTTGACTTGCTATTTTCCATTTTTGTCTTTTAATACTAAATTTTGGCTTATTTTCTTTCAGGTCCCTACAGTTTACTCGCGTTTTACATTTTCATCCTTGTTTTAATTGTAACACCCCCAACCCGTACCCAACCCGGATACTAATATGAAGTGTCACATTGACTTTTCAAACTTTGACATTTAAAGAAAAATAGGGAAATTTTAAACTTTCATTAAAACAAAATACGTTAATTTACATAAAAGAGACCACAAAATACAAAATTTATCAGAGCATTCGTAATTAACAACTTATTACATGCCAACACTCTATACACAACCAAAATACCTACTTTTCCAATTACTTCTGATATGATCTTTAAGTAGTGATGTTGTCCTTGCCACTTCTATTACTGCTCTTTTTGCTTCTTGGTACCTACGTGTAAATCACTTACACGCTAAGTCATAGACTTAGTGAGACATAATATAAATATATAGATATAACAATGCATTCATGAACATGCATTCTTACCATATGATCATGACCTCTTAATTTGCATGCATCTGTTACACTATAACATATATGATGGTGACATGCACATATAAAACATATATTCTTATGTTAATTCCACTTTAATTTATCATTGGATTTCCCATGTACATTATTGAGAACAGAAGGTACACGAGTACGTTGAGGTTGTGCGCAATGCTGTCACCACATCTCGAATAAAATCCCCCTAGGGGCACTGAATATTTGTCCCGAAAGACCACTATGTCCCAAAGGACCACAATTTTTCGAATGACCACTGATAATCCCTCGACTCTTGGCATGCCAATTATACCTACAACTCTCATATTAAATAACATGGGCTTAATTATAAATACATTTCTGATTTCATATCTCTTTCATCACTGCCCATATAAACACATAAGTCACTTCATATGATCATTTCCATTATTTCACATACTTGGAAGGATTCTCTGATAATAACATTCATTCATATAATATCATGTTAAATCATGAATGAAAAATGCATGAAATCACTATAACGTTAACATATATATATATATATGTATGCATGTGAGTGAACATGGAATCATAAATTCACTGCTAAGAGATAGACTTATCGCAAGTCTTATCTCAATTCTATTTCATCTAGAATATACACTCACTTTGGCCTTGCTTGTTTTGAATTGATCCTAATCCTTCGTTTGTTCCGGAACGAAATTACGTTCTATATCTACATAGTAATACATTGATACTAATTAGTATACTAATTAATATATTCTAAACTATCACTCCTTAAGCTAAAAAGAAAGTTATTTTCATCTCTTAATGAAGGTATGCATCGATTCACTACACCATGTATCGATGCATCCCTTGACGGGTGCATCGATGCACTTTCTATGCATCGGTACATAAATCCCATTCGATGTTTGTATTTTAAGGGGGTGCATCGATGCACTACTTGTGCATCGATACACTGATGACATTCGATGTTTTTATTTTAAAGGAGTGCATCGATACACTTCATGTGCATCGATACACCTTGAACAATTTCTGGGATTTTACCCTTGATGCATCGGTACACATTGAATGTGCATCGATGCACATAGCCCAGAAATGTTATTTTAGCACAAAAATCTCTTCATAATCTTCTCCACACTTTATATTTCCCCTCTTTTTATATCCTTAACTTGCATACACCTACTTTAATTAATTAATACCCATTAAATACCTCTTAAACTTAAAAATCCAATCCTCCACATAGATTTCAAGAATCTCCCTCAATTTCCAACATGTTCTAAATCTAATTTTAACACTTTGTATGTCTTAATTAAGTCGATGAAAAGTCCTTAATTCAATACCACTACACCACATTTTTCATATAAGTCCTTAATTATTCAATTATTATACTTTAATCACCAAATTCTAAAACTTTACAATTTAGTCACTAACCCGGTATTGAGGATGTTACAAATCTTCCCCCTAAAAAACATTCATCCTCAAATTTTCATTACGCGAAGAGATGGGGGTATTGAATCGTCATGTCCTCTTCACGTTCCCACGTTGCTTCCTTTATCTTGTGATTCCTCCACTTTGATATTTAATCTATTTTCTTTTTAGATTAGCGTATGATTTATGTCTATCAGATGCTGCTTTTAGATTACTTTGAATTACTTGAACTTTTTCTTCCACTTCCTGGATCAACTCAGGACCAATAATTTATTTATCTTTAAGCTCGAACCAATTTAGGGGCGTACGACATCTTCTTCCATAAAGAGCTTCATAAGGTGCCATTTTGATGCTTGATTGATAACTATTGGTGTACGCGAATCCAGGAAGAGGTAAGTACCTTTCCCATGATCATTTTAACTCGATAACACAAGCTCTCAACATATCCTCCAAAATTTGGATTGTTCTCTCGGATTGCCCATCGGTTTAAGGATGAAATAATGTATTAAAGTTCAACCGAGTTCCCAACGCTTTATGTAATAATTTCCAAAACCGTGAAGTAAATCTAGGATCTCGATCCGAAACAATAGAAACAGGTACACCATATAAACGTATAATCTCTCTGATATACAACTCGACATACTTATCCAAGGTAAATTCAACTCAGACCGGAATAAAATGAGCTGACCTAGTCAATCTATCTACAATCACCCATATAGAATCTCTTTTATTCGGAGTCAAAGGTAACCCTGTTACAAAATCCATTGTTACATTCTCCCATTTCCACCGAGGAATATACATTGCTTGTAATAATCCTGACGGAACCTGATGTTCAGCTTTGACTTGCTAATACGTCAAACATTTGGATACGAATTCTGTAATGTCTCTCTTTATTCCATGCTACTAATATCGACTCTTGAGATCCATATACATTTTATTTCCTCCCAGATGCATAGTCAATGGACTACAATGAGCTTCCGTTAACAAGTCTTTCTTCAACTCATCATCATCTGGAATCACTAGCCTCCCTTGATAATATAGGTTCCCATCAGCTTTCATTTCATAATCCGTAACCTCTCCATTCCTTATTTGATATAACTTCTTTATACACTTTTCATCTCTAGCTTGTAATTCCTTAATTTGATCTAGCCATGATGGCTTGAGATTCAATTATCCACATATGGCACCGTCTCCTCTTAACGATAGTCTGGCATCCACAGCTCGTAAGGCTGCAAACGTATTTCGGCTTAAGGCATCCGCTACATCATAATCTTTTAAGAATTTCACCCATCTTCTCTGTCTTAAATTTAACTCCTTTTGGGTCATCAAATATTTCAAACTCTTATGATCTGTATACAAATAGCATCGTTCACCATACAAGTAGTGACGCCAGATCTTAAGAGCAAATACTACTGCAGTTATCTCCAGATCGTGTGTGGGATAATTCTTTTCGTGCGGTTTTAGTTGCCTCGATGCATACGCTACCACTTTACCCTCTTGCATTAGCACGCATCCCAGGCCATTATGAGACGCATCACTATACACTATGAAGTTCTTGCCAGACTCGGGTTGAATCAATACTGGAGCTTCTGTCAAAATCTTCTTTAGCATTTCAAAACTCTCTTGACACTCTGAAGTCCATACAAATTTTACCTCTTTCCTCAATAATTTAGTTAGGGGTAATGCTATTATCGAAAAGTTTTAACAAACCTTTGGTAATAACTGGCTAACCCCAGAAAACTCCGGACTTCTGACACATTCTTTGGAACTTCCCACTCTAAAATGGATTTAATCTTTTGGAGATCCACTCGAATTCCTTCTGCAGAAATCACATGTCCAAGGAACGTCACTTCCTTCAACCAGAATTCACATTTTGAGAGTTTGGTATAAAGCTTCTTTTCTCTCAAAATCTGTAAACAATCTTTAAATGTGAACTATGCTCTTCTTTTGACTTTGAATACACTAAAATATCATCGATGAACACCACTACGAATCGATCCAAGTAGGGTTGAAATATTCTGTTCATAAGATCCATAAAAGCAGCTGGAGCATTTGTAACTCCAAACGGCATTACGA